ATACTTTATGTATGAAGGATGCATGTGACCAACGAGATGCATGCCATGCGGCACAACTGTACCAATGCTGGTGCAGTTATTGTCAAAGTTGTGTAAAATTCATAATTGTGTCCCTTTCAGTTCATGAGATGATTTGAATCTAACTGAAGGAAGGAAAGAAATTGAATCTTTCCATCTATCTATCTTTATATCTTATCTATCTATTTATCTATCTATTTATACTTTTATATACATATGCACATGCATACATATAAGTATATATATATATATATATATATAAGTGTAATGATTATAATGTGCACTCACTGGCAGATGCTGTTGGGGCTGAAGAGATGCTGGCCGTCGGGTAACAGCAGGACGGGTGACTCGAGGAGACTGAGGTGAGGGACCACTCTCTCTGGAGGACAAAAACACAATCTATCTGTGAGAGATTCAAGCTGAACAAAAACACACCGAGCAAATACACACCCATACAATGTACCACAGTAATAACATGGTACCTCGACACACACTATAGTACTGTGGTATGGTATATAGCACTATGATATTATATACCACGGTACTTTTTGTTTACTATGACTGAGACTAACAAACTGTCACGACTCGGGTAAAGTCTCTCACCCTCGTGGCTGACCGCTTCTATCTCACACTTCACTCCGGTGAGCTCCAGCGCCGCCAGCACTTTAACACACTGCGGGGTCCCGTCGGCGATATACAGCTTCATCTGACCCTCTGTGACTTTAGGACGCTCCTGAATGAATCTACTTTCGGACTCGGCGCTGGAAACGAGTACAGTGAACTCAACCGGTCTGGGAATCGAGTGTTTACGCTGATGCAACCTGCGCGTCAAACCACGTGACCGCGTCAAGAGGAAATTGTAGTTTTTAATTCTCGTTCGTCCATCGGAACTGCCCTGAACTCGTGCAGGCGAAAGACTACAATACCCATAATGCCACAGCGCAGGCGTGAAACTTCCGTCATGGCAGCGTTAAGTTTATTGGTCAAAGAGCTGAACGCCTCAATGTAATTGGTCAATGCCGTTATCAAATCAATGCGCACGATTATTTAGCGTTTAATTTTAAAGCTCATAATTTTGAGAATTTCCATTTCACCTCTCAATGGGATAGGAGTTTGTTAAAGTTTTCTAGTATCCATTTATATTTATATTTTTATATTTATATTTTATTTTTATAACTTAGACTGGCCCAAAAATCTAATATGACCACTGATCTATAATAGTAATAGTGTGGCAAATACAGATGAAAATGTTTGTGCTTTTATTTATATTTATATTATATTTATATTTTTAAACTGCTCCAAAAATCTGAGATGACTAGTAAAAATGCACTGTTTTGCATTATTGTCTTATTTGATACGCAATTGTTCATTACAATGATCCAAGAAAATCTGACCTACATATATTTATTTTGTGTTTTGGTTTTATAAAATTACATTTATTTATTTATTTAAAAATCCTAAAACTTTCTTTTTATTTCCTAGGTTAGAAAAAAAAATCCGACCTTCAATATTTTTTTGTCTTTTAGTTTTACACCATAACATTTATTTATTTATTTATTTATTTATTTTAAAATCCTAAAATTATCTTTTTATTTCCTAGGTTAGAAAAAAAAAAATCTGACGTACAAATATTCCTTTGGTCTTTTGGTTTTATACCATAACATTTATGTATGTATAATTTTATTTATTTATTTATTTTTTATTATTTATTTAAAAATCCTAAAACTTTATTTTTATTTCCTAAGTTGGAAAAAAAAAAAAATCTGACCTACAAATATGTTTTTGTCTTTTGGTTTTATACCATAACATTTATTTATTTATTTATTTAAAAATTCTAAAACTTTCTTTTTATTTCCTAGGTTAGAAAAAAAAAAATTAAATAAATCTGACGTAACAATATTTCTTTGGTCTTTTGGTTTTATACCATAACATTTATGTATGTATGTATGTATGTATAATTTTATTTATTTATTTATTTTATATTATTTATTTCAAAATTCTAAAATTTTCTTTTTATTTCCTAAGTTGGAAAAAATAAATAAATCTGACCTACAAATATTTTTTTGTCTTTTAGTTTTACACCATAACATTTATTTATTTATTTATTTATTTATATTTAAAAATCCTAAAATTTTCTTTTTATTTCCTAGGTTAGAAAAAATTAAATTAAATAAATCTGACGTAACAATATTTCTTTGGTCTTTTGGTTTTATAGTGAGGCATTTATGTATGTATGTATGTATGTATGTATGTATAATTTTATTTATTTATTTATTTTATATTATTTATTTCAAAATTCTAAAATTTTCTTTTTATTTCCTAAGTTGGAAAAAATAAATAAATCTGACCTACAAATATTTTTTTGTCTTTTGGTTTTATACCATAACATTTATTTATTTATTTATTTAAAAATCCTAAAACTTTCTTTTTATTTCCTAGGTTAGAAAATAAATAAATAAATTCAATGTGCTTTTCAGTGTGCTTTCGAATCGCCATTTATTATTTATACTAGCATTAACTAATTGTTTTTCTATTTTTTGACCATAATGTATAAAAATTATTAGATTTTTTTTTTTTTTACAATATTTATTTAAACAATATGTATTTATCATTTTATTTCATCAGAAAAAAAAATCTGACAGTTTTCCGGCTTAATTAGCGAAGTTGCCAAAGCATCACACAATACAATAGTGCAGGAAACAAATGAGTAACTAAACAAGATGCAGCAGCAGCAAAATAACACTGGCTCATGAAGCCTCCCTCTGGTTGGCTGTTCTCTGTCACGTGACAGCGCCCATACAGCCCCGCCCCTCCGGCCGCTCGGCAGAGTTTGAGCTCGAGCGCCGTCCGCTTCACCGACACCTGCAACACCGCGCGCGGATGCACCTGCAGCTACCGGTAAGCCACGAGCAGAGCATCACAGCTCAGAAACAAACACATGTACGACCATCAACTATTTCACACTCGAAATATTAATTATCTGCACAACATTAAATGTGTATAAACAAATAAATAAAAACATCCATGCATTTGCATGTCCTATATAGAGATAAAAACATTTACTATTAATTACTTCATCATTCCTACTTAATCATACATTTGCATTGTCTAGTTAGACATTAAACATTATTATAAAGTATGCATATTAAGTAGAAATCTGTACATGGGGTGTTTTAGTTGTTTATGTTCAGGATTTACAATAAACTACAATATTTACATGTTTTAGTAAACATTTATTTAGTGCAGCATTTTTTTAAAGTGGGAAATACAGATGAACAATGTGTTGCATAATTATTTTGATGCTATGTAATATTTTTAACTCAATATTCAGATGCAATACGGGACTATCTGTGGTTGAATTATTCTTGAATTATTGCATTTGGTAACATGAGATGATTTCTTAGGCTTGTTCTAAGCGAGGCTCTCGCTGTGCTGTCACTTCGGATCTGAGAGGAACCACCGAGCCGTGAGAGACGCTCTGGGTTGCATGAGACTCAGAGTGAAATATATGAGCCGAGGATCTATAAGCTTGATGGCATTCGTTGCTTTGAGACTCTGTGATTTCTAAATAGAAATAATAGGACACGATTGAGTCGCTATAGGCATCATACAGTAAGAGTTTAGAGCTTTAAAATGAACACAGAGAGCAGCTCAGATCTTTGACTTTTAATGGCCAACTCTGTCAAATCTGAGCACAGTTGAGACATTGAGAGCTCTTGCGAGAAGCCGGAAATGGAGAGAAAGTAAAGACTTGTTGAGATATTTCTGATTTATGAGGGTTTTTCCAGGCCGGATGGAGTCTGATCTGGTACCAGGAGCAGCATTGTGTTCATAAACGTTCTCTTTCTGAAAATCCCATGAATGAAGCAGATTATTTTTTGCAGCGGCTGTTAGTTTCAGATTGACTGTGGCTTTATCATTCTGCTGTTTTCTGTCCATCCGGTGCGTTTCAAGACACGAAACGTGTGCTGAAGCACATGCATGATCAGACACAGTTCTGAATGTTATCTGTTATATTCAGGAGCATTCACTGTAAAAAAGATTCCATAAAATTTACGGTAAAAAAACGGCAGCTGTGGTTACCGGAATTTTACTGTAAAAAATACGGTAGCAACGTTTTGGGTTTTACGGTTTTAACTTAAATTTACAGTTAAATACCGTAATTTCATTAACTGATAAAATGTTATTATATACCAACCTATTGAAGTACTGAAATCTGTTTAGTACCTTTGTAATACACTGATAACCACCAAATGCAGGTGGTGATGAGAAAGTCACACAATGAACCAAAGCCTATCACAAGCAGCTTATAAATAATAACATATGTAGAAGGTGCACAGTGTCATTCACACAAACACCAAACACCATCATGGTAACACACATGAAACTGAAATAATGCAATAAACATTCATTAACAACATTAGGTGTAACGCACAACGCTAATATACAAAACTGATAAGAAAAAACTAAAAAGAAACATAGTTATTTCAACAAAAAAACATCAAATTTGAAATGTAACGCAGGGAATTCTGGGAATGTCAATTTACGGTTATTCACTGTAAATTATACGGTCTTTTTCACTTCCAAAAACGGTATACTACCGTAAAATTAATGTCCAATACATGTAATGTCCAATACAGTTTTTCACCGTATATAGTAGGGGAATTTACCGTTAACCATTTAACAGGTTTCTACTGTAGCATTTTTACAGTCTTTTACCATTAAATTCACAGTCATTTTTTACAGTGCACACTAAGAAGGACTAGGGCTGGGGTCAAAATTTTAAGTTAATAATGACTAGACTAGAGGTTTTTAGGTTCTACTTAAAATCATTAGTAATACTAATAATACTAGTAAACTATTGCTTTACTATTATCATTATAGGATTGCTACTGATATTTGCGAGAGACAAGAAAAAAATGCAGTGAAAGAGTGAGTATGTCTGAATCAACTTAATTTCATGAACATGATACTTGTGCAATGCCATCCAGAGTGAATGACGTGGTCAGGAAATGAGCTTTCACAGTGAGATCACAGTTGGGTTTCATTGAAACGCTACAAGTGAATGGGATTGAGATGTCACATAAGGTGAAGATTAGGTTAATGGAGATAAGTCAGAGGTGTAGTTCACCTGGTTGGGATTAACCTCATCTAAACCCTGGTTAAATCCTGTCCCGGGGTGATCTTTTTCTCACGATTGGACTCAATGCACTTCACATGGACTCACTATCAAATGGAGCATAAAGGCTATGTGTTTGGCTGTTCATACTAAAACTGGAATATACTCTAGGTTTTAGCATTCATGCTTCTTACAACCATGAGACGCAGAGACATTACTATAACTATGTCTGACATCGCAATTTGCTCTGTATACACTTTAGAGATGTCACTTCCAAAACTTAGCAGTGTGTATGAGGCTGAGCATTTCGTATTTTTATAATGAAACCTTCTAGATAAATCA